TGAGCATAAAAATTGCCTAAGAGGACTCAGTAAGAACAAAATTAAATTCAAGCTAGCAATCAAAGAGTTTGAATAGAAATTTCACCCACTATGTGGACATTATTTTCAACTGAAGCTGGACATTTTCAATAACATTATAACGGAAAAAGAGTCGATGTTAAACTTTAGACCTCTGTCAAACGTTGGTGATATCACAGACAGTGTAGAACCACTCAATCGGAATCAGTTTTTAATCCGAAGTCTTTTCAGCAACCTACCGATTTTTTGACGATCGACCACCACTAATTGAATACCTTAAAACTTGATCTCAACAACAACAATTGCTTAACCACATCTGGCAAAGACTGAAAAAGGAATTTTTGTCAATTCTGTTGAAACGAACAAAACCGAAATTCGCAGAGCGATCGATAAAAAAGGGAGATGTTGTCTGAATCTTGAAAGATCTGATGTATGTGGTTTTTGGGACGTGTCACAGCAAAGTATCCTGGACGAGATGGGACTACTCGACTCGTAACTGTACGGACGGCGTACGGATTTTTTGGCCCTCCCGCCACCCCACTAGCACGCATTTTCTCGTTCTAATCAAATAATGCCTTAACTTGAGCCGAAATTGGTGCCCGGGAGCATGTTGCTGAATCAATTTTTCCGCATTTTGATAAATCATGAAATAAGTCGAAGTTGATTCTGAAAGTCAGTGATTTGTAACCTACCCATGTGAAGTTTGAATTAAACATGCTTGAAAGTTATTGATGAGACCGTTGAAAACCTCGGAAATAGTTTTTGTGTGATGTTGAAGTAATTGCTGACGAATTAATCATTTTTCGAACAAAATTTTTGACAAAATAACGAAATTTGAAAAAAAAATTGGAGTGATTTGGGAAAAAAGTTATGGTCGAGGAAGTACATGAAGAGGTACACATGAAAAGGAATCTGAGATATACTGTTCTAACTGTCCCTGGCCGACATAGAGTTTATAGACTGTGGCTATTGCTCGGATTATTGCTTCGGTCCTCCTTTTCCACAGATAAAAACACAGAAAGTTCTTAAAACGTAAGACAAAACAAGTATGTGGGTGTTGCGAGGCCGATGATTTATTTGGGTCGTTACTTTTTGACAAAAAAGTGCTGACGTAGAACTCTGGACAAACAGTAGCGAGGCGTAATGTCGGTATTATACAGTGTTTGGGTTGAAGGTGACCCAGTGCTCGGAATCTACAGGAATGAGAGCTTCCCAAATCCATATGCAGGATTGTCCTGTTCAAATTAGGTGTGTTTTCAAGTTGCAATTTTGTCGGCGAATCCAATTGGAGATGAACTCTTGCAAAAGACATTTCCAGATGTAGTCTCAAAACTGCAGGGCGACTTTCTAATTCTTTAAGAGAGTTGATGTTGATGTTTGATGGCGGAGAGTTGGAAGCTTGCTGGCAAACATTTTTTATATTAAGAAATGCTTAGAGAGTAAAGTTTCGATGCCAATCGGCAAAAATGATGAAGTCGTAATTTGTAGTCAGGTCGACAACTGTTTTGCAAGTATCATCTAACATAGCGTTGAACTAAAAATGGCGTAGAGAAAGTTTTTTAACGCTGCAAAAAAGACGCTTCCGGAAATACCACAATGAAATGCATGAGCGGGTTTGGTCGCGCAAAGTTCAAGTGATATCCAGAAAGTTCGTTCATTAGCCAGTTTTCAAAAGGGTTCCTTAAGTTGATTTCTGTGTTTGTAAAATTAATTCCAATGTCACAGTGGATTTCTCAAAGGGTGCTTCTTCTCTGCAGTGGCAGTAGTGTTGAAAGGCTGTTAAGATTACACAATTCCAGACGGGCTGCTTCAGTATTCGCGCACGTTAAAATTCTTTCGTCCGGCTTGGCTAGGTGTTTGAGCTGAGATGATGATCAGCGCACGATCATTTTATTGAAACACGAATAATTTCTCTCTTGCAAGTCGACACGATGAGAGATGAGATGAGATATTTCAGGCTGGAGCCAATAGGTGAGGTTCCGTCGGCAGTGAGAGCAGTGGTTGTTTATCACACAATTTTGGATATCGCTGAGAGAACACCTTTAGTCAGCTTGAAGTGAGTTTTGTTTGGTCATGCTCGGAGGGGGGGGGGGATGTTCATCGAAGATTTGATCATGTTGGATGATGAGTTACGCTGTGAGCTGTGACCATTTTTAAATCCAGTTTTATATGATGTTTTGAAAAATGGTCATGTCCTGACATTTATGCAGTTCCTACGATTCGCAGAAGTTTGCTTTGGTCGGAAATGAGACAAGGATTGAGAGTTGGCTAGATAGAGCAACATTTTTTTTTTAGCTGAGCTGTGTTTTTTTGAACGAGGGAAGTATTCTGGTGGGGGTTTTCGTTCAGAAGCTTGCTTGCCTAGCTGGTGTGGGCGACATTCAAGGTATTATCATGGTCCTTTTTTGTTTAACGAAGGCGAAAGTTTCTCTAGATTTGAAGACGGGATTTCATTCAGTTTAATGAAGTTTTGAAAAAACAGTCACGTCTTGACTTTCATTGACTTCTTTAGATTTGCATGATGTTATATTTGTGGGTAATGGGGACAAGGAATGAGAGTTAGCTGTGGAATGAGAGTTAGCTGTATAGAGCGACCATTTTTTCCGTTGAGCTGTTAATTTTACGGAGAAGGAGTCTTGTGTGAACTTTTCGATGAGAAGTTTCCTTGAATATCCGTTGTTGGTGTCATTCCTGGTAATATGATGACATTGAATTTCTACATGGACGAGGCAATACGACTTCGGACACCACAATTGGTCTCTATTTGTAGAAGGGGTGTCAGATGGAAGGTTCGAGGTGCCGATTGACTGCTCCAAAATCACCAACTTATTTTCTAAAATTTTCTGCTGCAATTGGAACAAATGCTGCTGCTAGCGGAAAAGGGTTGCACGTTTGACATTGATGCCTTAGCTGCCAAAGGATTTTTGTCGCTTTCTGGGCAGTCTGAAAGCGAGGTTGACGTGAATGGTTCATGTGGCCAAGCATCTTGTGGCTGAAGAAAACAAGGAGTCTATTGAACCAGCTACCATATGTTTTCAAAATTACCGTGAGATTTGCTTGGGTTCACTCATCTCCGGGCTTCACTCATCTTGAGTTACAATATCGCTGCTACAGGATTTACAACAATTTGTTTTGTTTTACAATAATTGTGCTGCTATCGAGGCAAAAAAACCAGTTATTTAAACGCGTTATTGTTTGTTAACTACACTAGCAAGACGGGCACCAAAAAGAGATGCTTTTATAAGTTCTTTTTTTATGATGAGCTGCCAATTTTGCTCCAATGGGGCTACACGGGCCTTGCCTAAGGCAAATTAAAGATTAGGTTCAGAATCACAATCAGAAAGGTACACATACTGTAGTATTGAGAAATACTACACAGACAAAAGACCATTGTCTTAATTGTTTATTCTAAATTGGAGCGTGCCATTTAAATTAAAGCCTCTTTTCACTAAATCAGATTTTGACTGATTTACTCTTATTAGGACTATAAAATCTTGTTTTGAAATCCACTCCTTTTTAAATACTTGTTCAATTTTTCTCATTTTTTCATGCTCAATATTTTAAAAGGGCGGCGATTATTAATACGTCCCTTTTAACTTAATTTGAAACAAACTGGATAAATATTTAGCAGTCTTGCCGGCTGCACTGAAATTCTCCTTGCTTTGATTAAGCAGAGGTGCACCTGCAATATGATGCATCAGAGAGAGTAATATGAATTTTTAATAAGTCAAACTGAAGGCTGCGGTTTTTATCAAAGGGGACTAATAAGTTAAAGATATTTGATTTGAAAAAATCAAATAAAAACTAGTTGAAAATTCCCTTATTAGAAAGGCAGAACAAAGGAGCAGGTGAAACCTGAATAATTAAATATTGAATCAGCCGCCGGTTTATGCTTACGAGCAAAAGGACTGGCCTGAAATCTTCAGTGTTTCATTTTGCTCAGTTAGCAGCAAGTTAGATATCTTCAGTTAGACCTTTTCAAAAAATAAATAATTTTTCTTTTCTGCATTTACAGTAAAATTAAACTAGTCTTTTTTCACAAATAAAACAGAGAATAAATTCTCATTTCAAGTTCGATAAAATTATAAAACGAGATACTCGAGATAACCCCATCTGAGGAAGTCTGGACTACAAGTACCCAAAGGACTACGGCAAGACGAAACTGACAACCAAACCAGAAGTGCCAAGTGGACAACATCAAGGCAACCCAAGAAATACTACTCAGTCATCGACCTTAGTAAGAAGATAAAATATTGATGAACAAAATAAGATTAACTCAACCTACCCTCATAGGTATATTTCTTTAAGCTGTTCGATTCGCTTATATAATCTAATTACACAGTGCTCTGTATTTAACCAACTAATTAATTCATACCTTTTCTAACTATTGTTTCTACTCTACTTTTTGTCAAGACAATTTGACGATTTAAGGTGAGACTTATAACTTAGGATAAAATTACTAAGCATTCAACCAGCAATGAGCGCTTAGTAAAACTGGTGCGACCGCAGCAGAGAACTACTCCTTAAGAAATTCCTTTTCCAACAAACTCGAAACAGCTTTTAAAATTCAAAAAAATATATTATTATTAGGATCTGTGAGTATTTGTCAGATTAGTTTCCAACCTCAAAAAGCCAGAGACAATGGGTATCTTTCGATAGAAACACAATTTCATTGTCTTCTACTTGACAGATATTCCTAGTAGGGTTCTTGCGAAAGCATCCCCTGCGCTAGCAGTCGCCCACGATATCCCTCCATCTCGCGGTCTGTTAGACGGCTTTCTAACTGACAATAGCTCATGAACTTAACTATTATCTATTATTATAATAATATATAAAATTTCTGAAAGAATCGTTATCTGCCTAAGTCCGCTAGTAAGATATACCCGTTTTGTCCAGTAATCCACTAAATTTTTGCTGAAACTTCAGTTTAAAGTTATCATCACTAAAATTAACGAAATTCTGTATTAAACTAAGGTGCTCAAAAACTTATTAAATATCTTCAATTATTTTTTCGAGGGGGTTAAGTGGTCATATGTGCGATCTAAGAGTACCCTAAATTGTATGATAAATTGAATTCTTCATCACATTATCTCAAACCATCCAGGCTTGTTGCTATTTATTCTAATCCTTCATCATTTCTCGAGGCTTATCCTCATTTTCTCTTAAACTAATTTTAATTCTATCCACCTTAACATAACTTAAACCTAAATCATCCATCAGTAAAACTACCAATTACTGAAACTAAGAGGAAAATAACAAAAACCACGAAGGAAGGAACGGATTTGGGTGTTCTTTAATAAATTATTAGTTTTTTAACACAGTTTAAATATACACCTAATAAACAATAAAATTGCGCACTAAAACCAATCTTAAACAATAACCACATAACACCAAACACCAAGTTTTAGTTTCAGCACAAAAATATCAGGTTTCACAACAAAAACTAACTTTAAAACACCACTGACACATCCACTTTATATTGATAAAATAGGTTTCATATGATAGCATAAGCACTAAAAAACTGATTTTTACCAGCCAAAATTTTTGGTTTTAGTCTAGGTTTCAGTTATAGGGTCAAACGTTTTAGTTAAAATAAGTATAGTTTCCGGTCAAAATTTTAAGTTTCTGTAAACGGATTCGGGTAAAACAGCAAAAGTTGAACTAGTCAAACCCAAATTTGGATACCATAAGTCAAAAACCTGGTCTTAAATGGTATGTTTTTGTTAGTTTCAGGTTTCAGAACACAAAAATTGAGTTTTTGGTCTCAAAATTGAGCTCCGAACGCCGAATTTTGACTTTCTAGAGAAAACTAACGGTGTTAAAACCCACCAAACCAATTTTAAATTTTGGTTCCTAAGGCTGAAACGTACGTTTCAGAATTGGTGTTTTTGGTTTCAGAACCAAAAATCTTGCTTCCCAAGAGAAATTTTTGTGAAATATTGAAAGATAATAGGAATCCTTAATGCACTAACAAATTTTTGAACTCAAAAAACTTCTAGGCGTTAGTTTCAGCCCTCAAACTTATAGTTTCAGAAAACTAAAATCGTCGTTTTAGGCTAAAACTTTCTTCTTTTTGGCAATTTTATTGCTGGAATAGAAATATATTAGAGAGACCAACCTAAATTTTCAATCTCAAAACTCTAAAACCAAGTGGTCAAACCATAGTTTCAGTTCTAGAAATCATAGTTTCAGCCCCAAAAACTTAGGTTTTCGCAAACAAAATTTTGATTTTGAAGTTGCAAACCTGTTCCAAATTCTAATTTACACTAGACCAGCTATCAAAAACCAACTTTTTATTTTCATGCATTGAGTTTGAGAGAGTTTAAGAGTTTTAGGTTTGAGATTTCAAAAACTAAGTTTAAGATATAAAAAGATTCGGTTTTCTCAAATTTTTTTGCAAGATAAAGCATAAACTAGGTATACTAAAGCTTCTAGACAATTTTAAGATTGAAAAAACTCAACTTCAGCTACCATAGTTTCAGGTTTCAGATTATCGTTTCAGTCAAAAATTTTTGTAAATATTTTAACAAAAAAAATTAAGTAGTGAGCTAATAATAGCCCAAAAAGGCATATAGTTAAATTGTTAACCATACCAAAAGCATCAATTAATTTTATCTTGAAGAAAGTTTCAGGTTTCAGTTAAGGTTTCAGCAAATGAAAACTTGAAAAACTTAGAAAAATTTTAGAATTTTTTTTCCAAAAAAAAAAAAAATTTAATTCTTATTTTATTATTAATAACCTTTGTTTATATTCAATAATTCCTAGGAGGTTTTCATAACTCTAAAACAAACTAATCAAACAGTACAACTTAGCTTAAGAAAAAGAAAACATCGTAAAAATTCATATCAACACATTTTAAAATTGACGTCAGTACAATAAATTTAAAATTCAAATTAGGAAATAAAGTCTCTAACATCATATGGTATATCACTAACACGGAAAAAGATCATTTTAGTATACTAGCAAAGCACCCTAACGACAATAAACACCAATTATACGTCTTTTTTTGACGATACACTCCAGAAATTGACACAATTCTTCAGCAAATAAAAATACCAAATAATATAATTTATATACCGCAAGAACGATTAATTGCTTCACTCCCGATTGCTTTTTGATATCATAATATACCTTACCACAAAACTACTTGCATTTTAATAATTTTTTATTAAAAACACAAATTTTTCCTTAACAAAAATTAAAAACATAACAAGTTCATTCCAAATTGATTAGAAAAGTTTAAAAATTTTTTATATTGTTTATCATTCCCTAAATAAATATTTATGTCCCTAAAATGATGTAAAATGCTATGACTAACTTTTATCCAGTAAATACAACAGCATTTAATTTAAAATTAAAATTAAAAAATAAATCCACAAAAATTATTTGGTATATCACCAAAATCCAAAAAGATCAAATCACAATTTTGTCCAAACACCCACACAAAAATTTTCACGAATTAACCATTCTTTCCAGCAGCAATACCCCAGAGATAACCTCTATCTTAAAAAAGCTTAAACAGCCCCATATCACTATTGATCTATCTAACAAAAATTCGTATTCATTGAACCCAGCAAATTTCATTGTAACTTAAATACAATTATTTCAGTCCGTACAATTGATCAGTACACAACACATCCAAACCGTTTATATATTGTTAACAAAACATTGAGTGAATTAAACAAAGATGGCAAACGTAGTAGCATACCCAGATTTAGCTCTCGAAAAGTTTAACGGCTAAGATCCGAATGAAGATGCAAGAGATTTTCTTGATATAGTATAGAAAAAGATAGCATTTTTGCTAGGCACTAGACCAGGAGACGCAGGTGACGAACAAGACGCATATGATAACAGACAAAGAGCCTTTTTTGGTTCAATTTTAAGAGGTCCAGCCGCTCAATGGTATCAAGGATTAGCAGCAAACTTACCTTGGAATGATATAAGAGATCAATTCATAGATAGATTCACTGATGATAAAGATAAGTATAGGAGACGAATAGAAGCAGAAAACATAAAAAGACAACCTGATGAATTCATTAAAAGCTACATACATAGATTAAGCACCGCAGTAGACCGTGATGGCCTAATCCAACTTTTAATGATGATCAAAGAACAGCAAAGAAAATGGAGTTCTTTGTACGCGGCTTAAGCCCGCCAGGCTTGAAACAAAAGGCTCATCAATTCCTAATTGAGAACCCACCCGCAACATGGCAACAATTAAAAGATCATATTTCAACAAAAGACTTAAGTTTTGCAGTAAGTAGTGAGTTTACTGGAACAGCCTCAAGTAGTGTTGATAATAAGTTGGAGATAGAAGGAATAAAGGATCAGCTTAAGGAGTTAACAGGACTAATGAAAGATCATAAAATAAATGCAGCCTATAATCCAAATGAACCCAGAAAAAAACAAAACCATACCCGATTTTGTAAATGGTGTCGTAGGTCAGGTCATACTATCAGTGTTTGTTTTAAATATAGAGACCACAAAGATCAAAACAGAAAACCACCCCAGTATCGTGAAAAATTCTCAGACAATTATAATAGGAGATCTAGGCCTCGAGAAGAAAATAGTTATAACAATCGATACAATGGCTATAACCAGCGAAATAACATTAGGAGACTATATTCTCCGTATCCTAGACAGTTCAATAATAGTTTCGATAGATCTCGATCTCAAAGTTTTGGATCAAGAGATAGAAATTTTAATAATAGATTTAACGACCAAAATAACCCATTTTATAGTACTTACAACACCACCTCAATTAACGATAAACAAAATAGGAACAGAAGCAATTCTATACCCGATCGAAATAGAAGATCATTTTCAAAAGACAATTATAGAACGCAATACCAAAACAGACCTCACGAAAATAAATTCCCATCCTACAATAATCAATCAAGATCCCTAGGTGATTCAAAACCATCCTCCAGAGAAAATAGTCGAGACAGAAACCCTAAAGTACAATTTAGTGAGAATAAAATCCATGGCTATTAAGGCGACGACGAAGGCGAGGAACTTACTTTAAACTAGAACAGTCTCCGCAAGATAAAAGTCACAAATGTATATTAATCAATATCAACATCCCGTCGGAGACAAAAATAAAAACAACGGCCTTGAAACCCAATTTTTAGTAGATACTGGAGCAATTTGGTCACTGTTAAATTATGATACCTATTTAGAATACGCAAAAATACAAAAGTTGACACTTACTAAAGCAAAATCCAAAACATTTGCTGTTAATGGACAAAAACTCAAACTCTTAGGATATACAAACTTTAACGCTAGTTTTGACAGTAAAGGTGATTTTTTTGTAAAAATTCGAGCATGGGTTGCGGCCAAGGACGGATGTAAACTTAATATATTAGGTATGGATTTCCTCTCTAATTCAACTAAATCGATCGATTTTTCAACAGCAAAACTAGAACTTAAAATGTACCCAGGAGTATCAGTCGCTATAAGCAATATAAAAAGCAAAAGCTATCCATTTATAAGTAGTTATCAGAATGTATTTTTGGACCAATCTATAACTTTAGCACCAAAATCAACTCGTGTCATTTCCATATCCCCAGCTGACAAAGTTTTTAAAAAAGGAACATCGTTCAAACTTGATAAAGACCTACAACAAAAAGGAATATACACTTATAACACATACTGTAATCATGACGAGAAAACGTTACCTATAATGTTAAACAATCCTAAAGAATCGAAGGTCATTATATCCAAAGGTTCAATTGGACAAATTTTCGAGGACATTGAAACTGATTCAAAAACAATCTACAGAGTCGCAGACAATATAGCTTTTATGGAAGTTTTGTTCAACAAAAATGAACATCTTGATCATATTTTTCATGTAAGCGAGCAATCAAAAGATCAACTGTTTTTCAAAAATGCATCAATTGGTGAAAATCATAAAAATTCAAAAAGGAAAAACAAGGAAATTTTTAAACAAAAAGAACTAGATTAAACTAATAAATACGAATTAGAAACAGATTTCAG